ATCCAGTAAAATCTCTGTCGTAGGTGACTCAATGTCTTCTTAACTCCGAGATGTCCTCCTATTAACCTATCATGGGATTGATACAGTACACCTTTCCTTAACTTTCTCGGTATAACCGTTTGCTAGGTCGTCACTTTCCCATCTCTGGAGAAGAATACCATCTTCAAGCTTCAACTGGTCCCATTCTGCCCAATAGTTCTTTGTCACAGGGCTTAGACTAGACACCTTCTCCCAAGCAGGGTGCAAAACACTTGCTTGTAGAAAATCAATTATTGGCTTCAAATCTTGGTCTTTCTCCTGCTCTGATTTAATATCTATACCTGGTTCCACTTCACCATCATCAACTCCTTCAGTCACTTTGACTTCAGCTTGATGGCACCTAGTTAGTTCAACCTCTCTTTTAACAGTTACTGGAACTTGGACTTTGTTGTTCCCAAACATCATTTTATCAAAATTAATTACAAACTTCTTCGGTAGTAAGTTGTCCAACCCTTATATGCATTGGTCTTCAATGTCAGCCAAGTATACTTTCTCTCTGTTCTTCATGCCTATGAGCTCAATAGTTACCCACACTGGTCCCCAACAACCTTGCATAATGTCCTGTTACCCCACAGGGCTTCTGTACAGCTTCTGGCACTCCTTTGTGATCCAGTACCTTGATACTCACAAGGGTTTGCAGATTCTATTACAAAGCTGCACTCTTGGCCATCCAGCTTTCCTGTCACGTAGACAATATGTGTGCTTGGCATTTTACACCTAGCTGTTGGGATTTTCACGATGGGGGTTGGTGGGCATCCCTCAACACCAACCACTACTGGTTTCTCCGAGGCTGACATATTGGTAGTATTCTTCTTACACTGGATCCTCATATGACCTTGCTCTCCACAGTTCCAACAACCTTTCTGGTTAGCAGCCTTTCCTGCCATGGCATCTCCCCTGTGTTGAAGTTACCAGCATTGAGCTCTCTTGTGCCCAAGTTTATTAAAGTGCCAGCAAAGTCCCTCAAACTTCTCTGAAAGCTGCCCTCTTCTGGCCTTGAATCCCAATGACTGTACCAACTTTGGTACCTCTGTGCTGGACTTAACGTAGGATTCCCCCTCTACTATGCAGGATGCAATGGCCAGAGTTCTTGAATTTTGAGCTTCTTTTCTTGTATCTTCAGATGTGAACTGTCCAAGGCATCTACAAACTGATCCCACAGCAACAACTTGAGGAGATCAGGTAGTGCAGTTGGGTAGGCCTTGTATGCCATACTTTCCAAATTCTGTGCCAGCTCGTGCAGGCTCTTCCCTTTAGCACAGACTCTCGTCCTAAACCTATCCCTGTAGACTTCAGACTGATTTTGGGTTCCATACCTGAGCTCTAGAGCAGCTACCAGTGCTCTATAGTTGTGCCTGTCGTCTGCTGACAACTGTCCAAGTACTTCCAGTGGTTGTCCCTACAGGCTTGTTGCCAGGTGCACAGCTTTCTGTTTCTCTGTCTATCCATTCATTTCTGCCAGTAGCTCAAATTGTGCTCTATATGCTTCCCACGGTGCTTTCCCATCGAATTCCCATTGCTTCCTTCTTACTAGATCACCCCTATTGTTGACATTCATATCTGGCATGTGACTTCTAACAGGACTAAAGATGTCTGCATTAGAGTCTAGCTGCGGGGTCTGGAAGGGGCTTCCCGTTGCCTGAGGCTGATTAGGTCGATGCCTATTATATCCTCCTTGTGTAAAATACAGTAAATCATCCTTTAATGTATTTAATTTACTTTGAAATTTGCTAATGTTTTCCATTTGTACTTCTTGCCACTGTTGTTGACTTTCCTGTAGCTGCTGCTGACTTTCCTATAACTGTTAGAGACTTTCTTCCTGTTTCCTCTCTTGTTACAGTTGCCACTGCTGTAATCTCTCTTCTTGTTTCTTTTCTCGTACTTCTTGTTTCTTTTCTTTTTCCTCCAACAACTGCTGTAATTTCTCTTCTTGTTTCATTTCTTTTTCCTCCAACAACTGCTGTAATCTCTCTTTTTGTTTCTTTTCTCGTTCTTCTTGTTTCTTTTTGCTGTTCTTGTATTGCTGCCATCAAATCTGCTAAGCTGTAATTTGATTTGCTGCTTCTCGCTTCCTTCTTTTTTTTGTCGCACTCTCTGACACCAATTTGTTACGTTCCTATTCGTTTGTTAATTTCCGTATAATGTCTTTCGGATGAAATTTTAGCGATACAAGTCCTTTCTTAAATAAAACTAGTT